AGTACGACCGACGCGGTGGACACGGGATCGACAGTGAGATCTTTGCGAATACGGCTGGCTTCTCGTGTTACGTTTAACGCGCGTCTAACGTCGACGAGGCCTTCATAACCACAATACTTTGCGAACCACAGTAGTCTGTGTCACAACAAGTGTGCACACGCTTGGCTGATAGACGCGACGTGAGGCAATCCCACTTTCTGGGGCGGTATTGCCCACATCCCTCGTGCATTAATTGTGATTAATTCGGCTTATCGGCTTGTTGGACGCTAGTCGTACGAGACACGCTCGACGGACCGGTAAACGTGACGAGAATTGAGCATGTATTGCAATGATCTGACTAACCGGTCCGTATTCCGTATTTATACAAATTTCGAGCAAAATCCAAAATATTTCTGAAGAAACGTACCGTTTATTGCACGTGCTATGAGGTAGCTTCAATAGAAATGTTAAATAACACACGAAAAATTAATGAAAATTTATGAAAGGAATAAAACGTTGAGAAAGTTATGAAAGGAATAAAACGTCGGGACGGAGACGTTATTGCAGAAGGGAGATTTTAAACGGAATTTGTGATGGAAGAAAAGAAAAAACGATTCCTGCAAAAGTCCGTGGATTGGCGCTTTGATGTGAATTAGAATTGCTTTTTATAATTTTTATATTTAATTTTGTTTAATTTGTCATTTCTCAATTTCATCTTGAATGCACATTACATATGACATTAAACATATTGATTTTGAACTAATTAATGGTATAATTAATTTTTATAGCAATTAATATACCTAACTATTTTTTTACATTTTCATCTTTATGTCACATTCTATGCAAACGCTATTTTGACTTTGCAAATTGAAATATATTTATTTATATAAAAAACAATCTTTATTATTACGACACCGATTATTCTGTCCGCGAACATATTACACGCGCTATTAAAATAAGTTTCCGTTTTCTATTCTTCTGATTTTTGAAAAATATCTTTTAACTTCATACAATTATGAAGTAACTATTTTTTTTAACACTGGATGTTTTATTTTTGAAAAATTGTTAACAATATAATTCATAATTTTGCAATTTATATTAATTTTACAATATGAATATTTTAGATTATGCCTGAGATTCTTATGTTTGCACAACGTTTATGTAAAATGGGAAATAATTGTAAAGATACAACGAATAAGAAATGGTAAAATTGAATCATCATAGACCCAGTATAATATAATAACTATATTCATAGCAACTAGATAATTTTATATGTCTTATCTGTGGAAATCTTTGTACTAATTGTGTTAATAATATTTTTATCATATTGACACTCCATCATTATTTTAAATTATGCACTTTTTCTTTTATGATTTTGACATACTAAAGATGGCCCATTTTTTAACCGAAATGTATCTATAATTTATTATCTTTATGTATATATATATATATATATATATATATATATATATATATATATGTATGTACATTTAAATACAATTACTCGGTAGAAAATTTTTTATGTATGAATATGTCTAAATATGTATAAACATAAACACGCATAAATGTTCACACGCATAAACATGTATAATTATGTATAAAATATGTACATACATGTCCATACATCCTTTTTTTTGTAAAATTACTTTTCAGTGTAATAAAGATAATAATAGTAATATGAAAACATAAAAAATTAAAGAGATAATTTTCGCATTGTTTGTTTAAAAAAAACAAGTTTGAAAAAATATAAAAAGAATTGCTCATGCATAATTATGCATAATTTTATATATAATTATACATAAATAATTTTTTGACATTTCTTCAAACTTGATGTTTTCTAAAACAAATAATGCGAAAATTACTTTTTTAATTGTTTTTAATATTTTTACATTACTATTATTATTTCTATTACGCTAAAAATTAATTTTACAAAAAAGAGGATGTATGATCATGTATGGACATCACGTATTCATATAAAATTATATGTTTATGAATATTTATACATGTTTATATATGTTTATACATGTATGATAAATTTTTTATCGATTACTGCGTAAAAAAACCCTGCGTTGTGACTTATAAGCTCCTTATCAATTGCATTTATATCATTGTTATATCATTTATATCTAGTTGTAATGTATATTATATGAAAATATCTTTTTTGTAGGCAAATTTTAATGGAAAAAACGTTAATATAATTTAAAAAGTTTTTGTGTGTTCCGCGACGAGTAACTTATGGGATTTTATGTCACTTATTTTGTTTTATTTGTTGTAAATTTATTTTGTCAATCAACCAAATAAATAAGCTACAATCTATTATGTTAAAATTGATGCTGTGTGTTTACATATACATACACACGTGCGCACGCGTAATATTTTTTTAAATGTACATATTTTTTCTTTGCACCAATTTATATTAGCATATTTAATCTTGGATGGATATTTGGAAATGGGATTAAGGAAAATATATGCATAACTCCTCTTTAATTATAGGTTTTGCTATATCAAAATATTCTTTATTTTTATGTCACATACACTGAATATGTAAATATCCTGTATTAATTTAAAAATAAAAAATCTGTGGAAATCCTTGTATTTCAAAATTTATAATATTTTGTTTATCCGAAACTTTATTTTTTTCTTTATTATTTTCTTCTTCATTATTTATTTTATCAATTTTAATTAAAAACCAATTATTTCAATAATTTTTTTATATTCATCAAGCTTATTTTTATTAAAATGCAATTTTTTTATACACAAATATTTTTTCTGATTTATATTGTTAGTATAGAAAGGAATTTTTGTTCGATATTCTTTCGAATTAAAAAATTTAATTATTTCTAATATGCGTGAATCAAATAATTCAGTAAAATTAAATGTATATATGTTCTTACTTGATTTATTAATATTGTATACAATTTATATAACACTAATTCATCATTGGATTCTATTTCATTCTTTTTTTTTATATGTATACTTGTGTAAATACCCAGAAAAAAATATTATATATATTATAGACATATTTTATAATTTTAATTATATAATTGTATGAAAAATGTCGAATTTTAATGTAATTATATATAATTTTATATAATTATATATGAAACATTTTTTTTCCAGATAGAAACATAATAGCTTCAAGCACAAGAGCGCACCAAGACGCTGATCATGTTGACAAATAATGATAGGTAAATCCAAGATTAAATATGTATCATAATCGTTTGTAACTGATCCATTTTTAAATAATGGTTCTATAAAGGGTTATATTCATTTTTAATATAATAATAGATGTGTACATTTTTCACAGATTCGTTACCTGATAAAATCTTTGTCACTCACCGACTGATGCCCCAACCTCTCAGTACAGAGCCGTGCAAAGTCTCCATTTTACTACACTTTCACTAACCGGCTAATGATCTGATCGCGGCCGAGTGACTGCGTATACCAATAAAAGAAGAAAAAGAAAGATCGACTAATGTGCAGTAGTGAAGTTATCAGCTATGTGGTTACATGATTCTGTAACATATAAATACAAGATACAAATTAAAATAGTGTTCAAAATAATCAATAATTAAAAAACTAATTTTTATACACATTAAATTTTTCAATAGTTTTTCAATTATAATCCATTAAAATAATTATACATTTTCTCAAAATTGTCTTTATGAGAATAAATTTCCGTAACATTTTAGATTAATTCTTTTTTTTTATTATTATTTTTAATCATCGATAAAACAAATTAATGGGAAGAAATGACTAATTTTTTATGCAGTAAGCTTGCTTACCGCAAAGTTCCATTGTTTTTCTTGAGCTTCCTCTTCCTCCTCCTTTTCATAAAATTGTCAAGCCTGTTTTTCACCTCTTTTTTTTCCTTTTTGCTTTGTGACAGCACCTATCAGTTGAAACATAATTTGTTAAAAAATTGTTTACAAAATAGTTTGTTAAAATTAAATGCAGTTGCAAATAATTGCTAAGGGTGCGCCCCGTTTTGCGCTTACAGTGCTTGTAAATATTATTTATCCTCGTTTGATATTTGATAAACAAGGATAAACTAATGCTTACATTGTGTGAAAGCGGAACGCATCCTAAATATTATGCGACCATGTCATATTTTGTTCGTATAGTTGATATTAATTAGACATGATGCATAGTTCATGTTACTACAGCAGAAAAATAAGAACGCAGGAAATTTATTATGTTCGATACTCGCGATACTTTACAAATAAAATTTAGACATTGGAATGCATCTAAGTTGGCGAAAGATTTCTACACAATTGACTTTATATGCGATATGCTATTCGGCTGCACGAGTATTGTAAAATATGTGCTCGAACGAATTATCCGCATACTAGTGCCGAAACTATATTACACAAAAAATTATTAGATATTTTAAGAATTAGATAAAAAATAAATATAAATTTTATTTACCAATTCAATAAGTCGCAACAGCACTCATTTGGAGTCAATCATCTCGTATTCACCACATTCTGCAAATAAAACAAAAAAAATGCAATTAATATATCGAAGTGATTTCGTCTTTCGCGTAATCAATTTTATACGCCAAGAAACGGCGACGTGTCATCGCAGCACGGTGATCTTTCTCTTAGTGAATATTAAATCTATAATTGCGCGAACACACACATACACACACAACATTAAGTGTTGCAATAAACGACTAATATAGGTTTAATATAAGTTTCAATTATCATTTGATTACTATATATGTCAATCTCTTATATTTGCTCTTCATTTACAGATCGAGATGTGTAAATGAAGCGTAGTTGTAATTAAGATGGCGAGACAACTTCGTTTTTGTGCGATTAATTTCGCGTGCCAAAAGCGATGCGAACGACGCGGCGTAATGATGTACTTCTCACTCTTGGCGTCGCGTTCATGAATTTTCCGTATTTCGAAATGTATATGATGCTCAAAATGCGGAAATAACAATCATAAAGGGCAAGCGTATATTATAATATACGCTCTTCTTTTATGACTATTATTTCCATATTGCAGATTAATATTCGAAAAATCTCATTGTCGATTATTTAAGTGATATACTTTTGACGAACAAGTTTTACGAAATACGCGTTCGAACGGATTATTAACATGCGAATACTGAATCTATAGTCACGCGATAGTTAAATATCGCGTATGAAAATATATATTCAAGTTATACATTTAGATATTATATAAGTTTTAATTACCATATTTGATCACGCGTGTCCACTTATTTGAGAGCCAGTCCGCTTCGCCGTGTCATTCCCTATCCGCCGAATCTCACGAATGGAATGTGAATGCGATCGAAATAAAGAAGCAACGTCGTTTTCCGTGTGCGGCCAACTTCACGTTTAAAAAGCGACGCGAGACGCAACGACACGACACGACGTTGCGCGTCATTTTCGACCGAACGAGTATGCGAGAAATATTTTTGATCGAATAATCAGTATGCTATAGTACTATACTAGACTCTGTAATACGCGATATTTACACTGTTACAAAGTAAAGGCAAAGTTAATTATTGATTACCTTAAGAAATCCAACGATGAACGATCCTTTCGTGCCATTTCTCGTCGTTTTATATTCAGCAGAGATTAGAATATGAAGAAAAAGTCACAATCGATTCGAAGACAAGCCTGCGAACTTTCCAACGTCGTTTTATATTCAGCAGAGATTAGAATATGGAGAAAAGTCAATCGATTCGAAGACAGGGCTGCGAACTTTTTCAACGTTAAAATGACAGGACGTACTCCCGTCCCCTGCTCGAGTCACAAAAGCGTGAAATCGAGAATTACGCGCTATTTATATGAGCCGTCAAACGGCGAACCCCACCACTCGCATGCCAGCCAATGAGCGCAATGCCTCGCTGCGAATGTGGTATATAAACGCTACGCAAAAAATTTTAGTCTTTTTTGGAATTTGGAGCCGTGCGTTTCATGATGCTAAGGAAGCCTGTACGCATTCAGCAAGCGTTTTTACGATGTTAGCATGTAATGTGTGTTCAATGCATAGTTTATGTATACAGTATATTATGTATACTGTCGAATTTCAAATATAAAAGTGTTTTGAATTCGGGCTAAAAATTATATTCTTTCCAAAAATTAAAAACCAATTAGAATAAATAAATGAAGGCTATCGAAAAAATTATATGAAAGAAAAATCGAACTTATAAAATAATAAGCAATTATAAATTGTAAATCATTGAAACACCGCGCAAGTATAGAAATATACTTATTACTTAAAGTTCTATAGTAAAATTTTAAATCAAAAGATTAATATAGCAATACAACTCCACCGAGTTTTATTTTATTGTTAGGTATTGAATATATAATAATCATTACGCTCTCTCTCTCTCTCTCTCTCTCTCTCTCTCTCTCTCTCTCTCTCACTTGTGTATAAAATGAAACGACGACATTAGATTTTTTTGTATAATATGTGCGACATTGGAAAATGGACTGAATGAAATTATATCGACGGCAGAGAGAAACCTGAGCGAGGACATATTGTTGTGTAGTTAACATCCATTTCTTCAGAGGGCGGTAATAGTAGCGCGGCAGCATTTTGCGGTTACAAGTTTTGGGCCGTTACGTCCTCTCTCAGATTTCTCTCTGCTGATATATTTAAATCACAATTTCTTTCAAAAATAAAAAAATTCAAGAAAATGGTTGATTTCTTTTTCAAATATTTTCTCTGTTTTATTGTAAATGACGTTTAATGACGTGCCACATGGCGGGGAGGAAAGGCGGGAAAGCATCAGCTGGTTAGTATCATGGCGTAGAACTGCACGTAAGAATGATTTTTATCTGATGTCTTCTTTCTTCATATTTCCTGTTATTTGTCGTAAGTAAATGTTAATAAGTGACGTTATGTCAAAATCAGGATATATCATATGCTATTGTTTGCAGATACGACCTAACGCACAGTTCTTTATGTGTGCTTAATTTATGTTTACCTTCGCTGTGCAGTTACAAGTAAATCACCATAAGCTAGAGAATGGATTATAAGGCACGCCGGCGTTACACGGCCGTTACAGATGTGAATGATGTCAACAATGATTATCCTCACGACATACAAATGTACGATGTGCCACCGGTCGGTGAAATATCGCTGGAAGAGTTTCAAGAGCTAGGATTTGATAGATTGAAAGGTAGCCTTCTCTTCTATGCCTCTGTATTCAGTTATTGGTATTAAACGTTTTGTTCAGCAAAAGATACAGATAACATAGATAGCATAACACAGTGAATCATTACATTCTTCTAATTTGTTGATGTTAAACAAAAATGAAATAATCGAGGATATTTTCTTTTTAATGACAAGTATCATTCTATCTTTGTTACTTATTGAATGTCAAGAAAGATAGAATGATGTTTATGTCGATTTGTGTTACTAAATGAAAAACATCCTGCATTACACTCTGTTTCTTGCTGAAAACTATCCATTATAATTGTATATTGTAATCGCGATTGACTTTGTTGCAGTGTTACGGTTGGTAGAGACAACAAATTGCAGAAGCGATCTGAAAACGCAGGAAGATCGTAAGAAAGCTTTCGCCGATTGTTTGAAATCTGATGGATTGAAATACTATGCAAATCTCTTATGCGCTGATGGGTCCAATCCGCAAGCAGAAGAGCATTCACAGATCAGAAGGAAAGATCACATATCACATTTTATCTTAAGACTAGTGTACTGCCATAACATTGAGCAAACCAAGTGGTTCCTTAATCAAGAAGTTGAATTTTTCAAATTAAGATTTAGCTCATTAGATAAGAAGGGCATTGAACGTCTGTTAAATATTACCAACATGGATTGTATACTTGTATGTTTTATTATATTTTAATAAGAAATTAAAAGGTAACGTATATGTTATAATCTGATGATCATTAATGTTTCTTAAGATTTCACAAGATGAAAAATTTGAAATGAAAGAAGAGCTTTCTTCGTCATGTGGAAAAGTTACGAATATTGATATTGCTGATATTTATAAAGTGCCTTTTGAGAAAGTCTGTGATTTGATCAGAGGACGCAAAGTATACCTCAAAGCAGGGATGGCATACATCACTCATATGGATCTAAGTTCTGTGTTTGTCTCCTATCTTAAAGAAAACCTAGTTACAGGATTAGAGGTAGAATTAGAACATAGACTTTGTTAGTTTTAAAGTAAGATTAAATTTTATTCAATGAACATTTTTTATATTTTGCAGAGTGCAAAAATTCTGTATGATAATATCTCTGATGACGAAAGATTGACTAAATATTTAACAGGTCTTCCTTCAGCCTTCTCTGGAATGGCGCGTGTCGTATGGTCAACTACAGCCACACCTATTGATAAACTAAATGATGTAAATCAATTATTATTTTAGTTTTATTAAGAATTTTATTTTCTTAAGCTTTTCACATTTAAAATCTGTTTAAACATTTTTAGTTATCAAAGATATCGTATCCGTTATGTATGAGAACACTTCATGAAGCACTCTGTACCAACAGCCATTTAAGAAATTCAGGGCGCATGCAATATGGGTTATTCTTAAAAGGTATAGGTGTAACTTTAGAAGATGCTCTTCGTTTTTGGAGAGATGCATTCTCAAAAAAGGCAGATGGAGTTGCATTTGAAAAAAAATATGCGTACTCTGTTAGGCACTATTTCGGTAAAGAGGGAAAGCAGACAAATTATACTCCATATGGTTGTCAAAAAATTATATCTAGTTCTGTTGGGCCTGGAGAATATCACGGATGTCCGTTCAGACATATGGATCGCGATTCGCTTTGCCAAAAATTAACTAGTTGCGGCGTATTCGCCTCTAGTAAGATTGATTTTATCACTATTGGAAAAAAATCAAGATTGTTCTTTTATATTCAATCTTATATTAATTTATTGTAGATATGACTGAAATATTGGACTTGACTAAGGATGGACAGTATCACTTAGCTTGTGCCAAATATTTTGAAGTCATGCACAATAAACCAGCAAGTAAACCACTTTTACATCCAAATGCATACTTTGCTGAAAGTCGTGCAATTTTAACCGAAGACGATGGTAAAGGTAAGAAAAAAGAAAATTAAAGAATAATTTTTTACTATTCGTATTGTGTATATAACATTTATGTGTTTTATTTGCAGATATTGATAACAAAGAAAAGTTCTCTCAAAGTACGGTTGGAACTCCTGGAAGCTTATCTTCAAGGAGAAGTGATAAATATCCTACACCTTCTAGAAATTCAGAATTTTCTGGAACTCCAAAAAGAAATGATAGATATGCTACACCAACGAGAAATAAAGATACGATCGACACACCTCTGAGCAAAGATCGAAAAATGAGTTATGAAACACCAAAAAGAAATAAAATGACGCCAGTAAACATCGCAGAAATGCTGAATGACGATGATTTTACAGAATTTATGGATATAGATATGGATCAGAATTAACAAAACATTGTCTTTCTGTAAATGTATATTTTTTATATTTAATTCACAAAATTTTTCCAAATATTTTTTATTCTATTTATCCAATATCAATAGTAGTCAAAATTTTTTAATAAATACTGCTTATATGTACATAATACCAATCTTTAGATTTTTAACTGTCATAATCCATAACTTTTAATTATTATGACTATTTACAGAAAAAAATTTTTCAAATAAAAATTAATTAATTTTTAGCATAAAATCCAACTAACTATATTTTAATAAGCTGCTATTCAAAATTTCAAAAATGCTCTCCACTCATTCCCGAGAGGATTTCGAACATTTAATTATAACATTTAAAAAGCTTCTTTATAATCGATAACTTGTATTTTTATCCGATTCTTGAGATACCTTATTGCTGTTCTATATAATTCATGTATGAAAATAAAAATCAATTATTTTTATAATAAAATTAATTATTAACTTTTTACACTTAAAGAACTGTAAGGAGTCAAGTGTATCGAATTTATAACACGAAAGCTCTTGAAACATACATCAGTTGAAAGATGTCAATTATGTATAATTTTTGCACAATTTATACGTAGCTGTTGACTTCTTTCAGCCGATGTTTTGATAGAAAATTCGTGTTAACGTCCTGCACCATTAACTCCACTAGCCTCTGTAGATCATATTTATGCTGCCATCCCCAATCCCGTCGTGCTTCGCTATCGTCAAAAACTTGCGGCCAGCTTTCCGCTAAAATCAATGTAATAACAAAATTTCTAATTTAAATATTTGTTCATAATCGAATTACAGTATATGTTCAAAATACCTCTGGCGAAAATAATATCTCTTTTACATTTCGTTGTCAAATTTCACCTTCTAAAAGCTTCGTTTATGCTTCTGTCACTCTCTCTTTACATTCAACTTATGCTCTAATTTTTATTTTTGCCAGAGACATTATCATACATACGTACCAATAAGCTGTCGTTTGTCAGGTTTATAAGTAATTTTCAAATCTGGTATATGTTTGAAGAGTTCATTGAACAATTCCTCAGGTGTGAAGCTCATAGCTGTAACATTGTAAACACGTCTACGCAGTAATTTTTCAGGTGTATTCAAAAACTGAAAAAGCGCCGACAGACAGTCCTCAATGTATATCATCGGCAGTCTTGTGTGAGGTTCCAAGTAGCACTCGTATCTTTTGTTTAACAATCCCTCGTGAAATACTGCTACAGCGTAATCTACAGAAGAATAAAGAAAACTAAAGATTATTGTCAAATCTATCAAATGTATAACACACATTTTCAAATAAAATGAAGAAAGTAAAATCTGCAGATAGATAAATGTAAACTTCATCTAATGATTATTTTTTTAATTATTTAA